TTCGATGCCCAGTCGTTGTTCACAAACATTCCATTGCTCGAAACCGTGGATTACGTATGCGAGCTTGCTCGGCAACTGCCCATATACATAACTTTTCCGGAGACTTTGCTAAAGGAGGTGTTACTTCGTTGCACGTTAAATGTTCAGTTCACTTTCAATGGTGAAATGTACCGTCAGATTGACGGAGTGGCAATGGGATCTCCTTTGGGGCCGCTGCTGGCTGATATATTCATGGCGAAACTGGAACATGGCCCACTTGCAACGCACATCCGTGAAACTGAAATGTACATACGGTATGTGGATGACACCTTCGTACTTTGCAAATCCGAAAAGCATGCGGAACAGTTGCTGAAAGCTTTCAATGACGCACACAAGAATCTTCATTTCACTTGTGAACACGAACTCGGAAACCGGTTACCTTTCTTGGATGTAGAAGTTATCCGTAACTCAGACGGATCATGCAGCAGAAAGGTACACAGAAAGCACACATGGACTGGGCAGTACACTAACTTCCACAGCGCAGTACCACTACAACACAAGCGGAGTTTAATCAGATCTCTCGCCTTCAGGGCGCGCAGTATTTGTACACCGGATACCGTCAACGAAGAACTACAGAGAATCAGCGACGCCCTCAGGGAAAATGGCTATCCGGATAAATTTATCATGAAACATTTGAAGGAACGTAATCGAAAGCCACCTAGGAGCATTGCTCCTAAGAAAGAGCTTTTCATACATGTACCCTTTAAGGACGATTCTGCAGCTGATATGTTATCCAGACGCCTGAAAGATGCTGTCGAGAAAACTTATTTCGCGGCCCGCCTGAGAATCGTTTTTCACAATAAGCCGTTGCTTACAAAACCCTTGAAGGATAGACTACCGCCATTGACCCGTTCAATGATCATTTATCAGTACTCGTGCTCCTGTGGTGCACGATACGTGGGTCGTACGACGAGACGCCTATCTCAGAGGGTTCGTGAACACATCCCGGCATGGTTTTACAGAGGCGAAATGAGGTCTGCAGACAGCTCTATCATGTCGCACCTCCTTGAATGTGGCCATACAGCTTCGGAGAATGACTTCAAAGTCATTTACTCATTACCTGAACACTTTTCCCAAGGATTCCGCAAACAGCTCTTAGCCATCGCCGAGGCTATGTACATTCACCATCTAAAGCCGGAATTATGTGTCCAAAAACGATTCATACGGCCGATATTACTACCTTGGCCAACGGACACCGTTACTTAGTTATTTGGACGTCATCTTACCTACTTAATTACCTTGTACTAATGAGAATTGTGTACATATGTTTATTTAGTTTACTTGGTCTACCATCTCTATCTCTGTCTCAAGTTATCGATTTTGGTCATTCAAACAGTCAAGAAGTCAATCCCAGCCCCAGTTGACGCTATATCCACAATCACTGTTATGTAAAAGTTTGGGTCTGATGAGATTTACCGAAAAGAATTCTTTACCCTGAAATGATTTCTGATATCGATATGAAGCGGTCCATTGATTTTCCCCTTTGCTGGCGAACCCAACGAACAAAAACACACACAGAGTCACATTTACCTAATCACACAACATGGCTACTTCCAAATACAGACATAAACATACTTTTACATGTCAACAGACATATACATTCCTATGCTATTTGTCAAAATATACTAATTTGTGCAATTGCCGAGCATACATGTCTGTATTACCATGATCACGCCCTTGATGGTGTGCCTCGCAATGACGAGAATAAACTATTTATTTATATGATCTAAGCACAGCTGATGTTGGACCGGATAGCTTCCTTGCGGCTTTCACTGCCTCGAGTGATATTGATCGCAGTATTGTGGATTATGCAACGAGGAATAGACGGAGGAAGAAAACCAGTTAGCCGGCAACGTTGCGAAGTCTTAACTAGTTTGTTGACCAATCAACGCTTGTTGTGTTAGCATTGACATTTCGCCAAAGAGGGTCTGCCAGATTGGCGTGCTGGTAGATCATGAAAAACGAACAATACAAAACAGACGGATTACTCGAATCAGATAATCCAAAAACCGATTCCAACCGGAAATCGAGGGACACTTGCATCACTCATCTCAGGAGCCCATCATCGATGGCGGGATATTCAGCAAAAATCAGCTGCTTTCCGGTGCAGCGAGGTAGATGTGTGAAGCGTTGCACAAGTGATTGGGTGAGACCGATGGATGCACACGAAGCGAAATGGCTTTGTATCTCAAGTGGGTTAGTCAAAAAAGGGACGTACAAATGAATGATTGCTCAGTCTCGCCAACGCTGCGCACCTCTGCCAAATCCTATAAAATTTGAATTTGTGACGCTTAGACTGGTAGTTGGTAGCTTGCGATATCGGGCTGTTTATGAGCGCAGAGGCGGCGGCTGCCCAAACTACGCGACTAAGAGGCTAACTGTGATGTAGCTCTCCCATCCTTCACTGCCGTCAACATTTATCATTATACAAGTTAGCTAGAGGTGGGAAACACCTCAGCTACTGTACCGCAATATAGAAAGGAAAATAAATACAAGTTGCATGCCAGCTGAGCTACCAGCAACGGATAGGCATCGTTCCGGTAAGCTACCAGCCGGCTACTAGGCATAAAGAAAAATCATTATTTACGATTACACTACGCTACGGAAAGAGATCGTGGTTGGAGCGGAGGCTGAAATGGATGGGGAGGGACAAAGAAACTCACAGCAGGAACGCCAATGAGGTCAGCTCCTTGCCATGTGATCCAGCCAAACGTGTTCATCGTCTTTTGGACCCCAACCAGGGAGCTGTGACGCTCCAACCGAGGCCAGCTTCGAAGTGAGGGCTTTCATTCCTCGCGAACAAGTCACGTCGCGAAAATCGGTGGGCTGGTATGCGCAACACGTGGCCCAGCCATCGGAGCCTGGCGCGTGAAATAATGGTGCTGAGCGGTTCAGTTCCTTTTCCTGGGCCGTAAACGAGGCGTCGAACACGCTCGTTACTCACGCGGTGTTCCCACCAGATGTGAGCCAAACTGCGAAGACACCGATGATCGAACGTAACTATCCTCTTAATGTCCGTTGATCTTAGGGGCTAGGTTTCGAAACCGTACAGTAAGGTAGAGCGTACCGCTACACTGCACACTCTACCCTTCAGGGCGAGAGTGATGTCGCGCCGTCGCCATAGGTGGCGAAGGTTAGCAAAAGCACTTCGAGCTTTCGCTATACGGTTCGTGATCTCGTCTTCGATCCCAAGGGCGCTGATACAACTTCGCAAGTAGTTGAATTTCCGAACGACTTCTAGCTGATCCACACCAAGGGTCAGCGCAGGAGGCCATCCCTACCAATCTTGGAGGAACGCTTTGCACCTCGATGGTGCAAAGCAAAGCCCGAAGCGACTGACAGCCAGTGCTAATCTATTCAGCGCGGCTTGGCACGTTCGGGAGCTGTCACAGATGAGGGCAATGTAGTCTGCATACTCCACGTCAAGAAGTCGTTCTCCTGGGAGTAGCAATGTGCGTACATTGAGGCATGCCAATTTGAAGGAGGATCGAGGGAAGCCGATGAACTGGTATGGACCGTTTGGTTGGACATGGGCTGGTCGACAGGAAAGGAGTGATGTTCCGCGTTAGCATGTGAGTTCAAATTAGAACATAAACGCCTAGCAAAGCATGTTGGGAGAGGGCTAAGAATCGGGGGGTTGAAAACTGCGGGGATAAAAGTGAAGTTGGAACGAGACGATAAGGGTGAAAAAGCGTAAGAGAGGGAATAAGAAGACGGGAAGGCTTGAGCAGTAGCATCCAAACCCCTATACACCCTGTTCGATGCAGCAGATAGGACACCGTTGATTATCCTCTGCAGTGGTCAGAGCACCAGAAATTTGTTTGAAGAGAGATTCATTGTATTGCGTGGGCAGGATACTGTCAGGTTGCCCAGGCCTAGACAGGAGAACGATTAGTGTTCTCAACCAAAGACTTTGGTTCAAAAACCTTACGGCAAGACAGCGGGTTTGGCAGTGGGCTACAAGGAGTCCTTTTTAAGGAATAAGGTGCCACTCATTCCAACCCCCAACATGGAGGACCAGGAAGCTGAGTTTGTCTGGTCTCTAACCATTGACCAATCTGGTATGAGTGGCTCTGAAGGTGCAAAAGCAAAACCCAGCATAGCTCAACAGATCACTGAGGCATACAAACCATCGCACCATGGTAAGGTCCAGTCTCATTGCGATGGCTTCACTGCCGTACGGAAAGAAATTGTGCCTCACGATCAACAAAATCTATCCGATGGCATTACAGGCTGTGCGTCGACCATTGGTGATGTCAAGTGAGTAACGTGCGGAAATGAACAATTTCAAGTGAGTTGGTGTTTGTCTACCCCGTGGCCAACACAGTAGCGTTAGGAGATATACTAGCATGTAGGTAACAAGCAATGAGCAACCAAAACTAAGTTGGGCATAAGCACAAACATATGTGTGTGTGTGTGTCCGAAAACGGAGTTAAAACACATGTTAACCTAGGGGGATCACAGTGAAGTGGTACAGAAGAAAAAGTAAAAGTACCGCGTGGTATAAACGCCGACGAAAACAAAGAGAGGAAATTAGGTGAAAGAGAACGCAAACAATTCTGGAAGAGATGTGATTATCAAAGAAAAGCATGAAGAAGCGAGATAGATCGGCAGCGGCGGGGATCCTCCGAATGGAGAGATGAAGTGATGCAGTATATCACAATGAAAAAATATGGCAGTGCACTTGAACAAGGAGGCGACTGTGATATGTCCATTGTTCTGTCACAGACTATAGCTTCAAGTAGACCGGATAATGTGCTACACATCGGAACGCTGAGAAATTGTTCGAGATTTCATGTTTCAACTAGCGAAGCCTGAAACGGGAAGCAGTGTACATCGAACGAAGATGCGAACGGTTATACGTCCGAATTTGAGGCTTTCATCTCACGCTTCAAACAAATGCACATTTTGAGCAGGGTTTTCGTTACAGGTGGAGAGGTAAAATGCAATCGACCGGTTGATTACATCGGCTGAGTCCAAGACCAAAAGCCACTCTCAACCGATGAGCAGGGTCTCGAAGGAGGACTGCATGCAGCCGCATTGAACAAAGGGGCATCAGGGGGTTTCGATGGCATGAGTAAAGCAGGAGAGGCGTCATCGAGTGGCAAAACGCCGACACCGACCCAACCTTCATGAGCGATCAGCGATGCGGCCGGTGTCCAAACCCAGTTGGCGAATGCTCCTGCTGATCCATGCAGGCGAGAATCAGGTGGTGCTGTTCCTTGCTTTGACGCCGAGCGGGACTGTCAGAAGAGGGGACAGGGAAAGCACGTGGTAAGAAGTGGATTGACCGGCTACTTAGCTTGCAACAAGCGCCACGGTGTTTTGATGCAAAAACTCGGTTAAAAGAACCACCTGCATAATATGTCCTCTGATGACTGTCTGATGTATTGAAGGAAATTTTGGTAGTTCCATCGCTTGCAAATTCTAGGAGTTGACCACCTTACAAGACCTGATTCGAATTGGCGGGGCGAGGCCAGTAGATGAACACACCACACAAGCGTACAAATGACAATGGCTTCGGTTTAGACACTGATGTAGAATGGCGTGAAAAATAGTTTAATTTGAGCTTCAACAAACGCGGTCGAATTGGTATGCAATTCAGGTACGTGTTAAAGAACAGCGGTATCGCAATAACCACACCAGAACTATCGTTAGCAGCTGGTGCGTACGGCATGAAACGCGTGCATCAATCTACGGAATGGAACTGTAGATGGACGTTCAAAAAACCGATAGTAATCTCTGCCATAAAATTTATTAGGCTGGCAGGATGATAAGATGTGAATCGGTTGACTCTATAAAAAGTCCAAAGCACATAGTTAGGTCAAATGTAATCATTTAGTTAGCTGAATTCACCGCACTGTCAGATGGACACTACGGCCTTCGAAATTACAAACCGGAGGGCCATTTGATCCTTTCAGGGAATCGTCAGCAGTGCGCATTCTATCGGCGCCATTGTGGAGGCTGGAACCCGCGATCCTACTCTCACCAATCCGTGGTTATGATCAACTGACCATGCGACGGGGTAGTGTAGAGCAACGGGTTACGTAAAGTAACAATTCGGGCAGAGTACAGATACCAAGTGAGCAGCCAGATGTAGAGGAAACATATACCATTTAATTATCCCCATTACCTATTTGTATGTATATAATTGTTTGAATTCGGACAATGCAAAGGCAGGAAAGGTGTGCAGATGCTGGTAGTACGCGTGTGGATAAAGACTAACAAGTAGTTTGAAAATTCTAGTCATCAGGCACGATCGTTCCTATTTCAAGCTTTCGGGAAAAACAGTAGAAGAAGAAGGTATTAGTAGTACGCCGGTACGCAGCACCGATGCTTCTCTGCCTGAAACCACCAATAGTCGCGCGTGGGCTAAGGATACTGTGCGGGCCTCTCGTCCCCTACGCAGGCTCGAACCCGGGACCTCCGATTACAAGACAGGTCTGTGATCCAACAGCCGGCTGTTGGGAGAGACAACACGTAGATAACTTTGCTTAAGGAATAATTTGCCCAGAAAGTAGAGAAAGCAAACACTACGCAGTAGCCGCAAATGCCTGCATTTCCCACAGCCAAATAAACTTTGGCCTACTTTGAGCCTTGCGCCACCATGCATTAGGCAAGCAAAACAAGTCTCGCCTCGGTAAGCGGCGAGATAGCAGGTGTCCAAACTAATGCAATTTACGCTGTGTTGTTTGTTTTACAAAGCAGTGAGTTTGGTTATCATGGACTAGCACTCGTCTACGCATATACTTGTTAATGACAAGCTGGTGCCATCCGACACCAGTAATGCTCCGCAGGCAGCGATGATCAAAACGTTAAACGCACCTCAGATTCTCATACCGACGCCAAGTCTCATTCTAACAGAAAAGTAATGGCAACCGGTGTGACTGTTATTGCGCAGAATTTCAGTTTGACGAAAGCCCCTTCCACGCACAACAGATGTTGCAGGTTCAAGAATGCGATTCTGCGGTCATGCGTCCATCGCTGCTAATGCAGTTGGCGAAACAATCGGACAGACCAACCATCTAACTCCTCATCAACAAGAATAAATGGACCATCAGGTGATCAGTGAACCTGCAACAGCGATTTGAAAGTGCGCGGCACGATCAGCAGTAAAATGAGCGAGCACCGAGCGGCCGCAACCAACGATAGTGTGTCTGGGGAGGGGTACAGTTTATCAACGAGTGAACCGAGATCTCAGTAGAAACGTGAACAGTGACCTGGTAGTTCAATGTGCCAAGACAAAGCATAGCTGATGCCTTGAAAATGAGTAAATGTGAATCCCAGAGTGAAAAAAGAAATTCCGTGGGAAGACGTGACAAAGCTAAAGGGTCAAGATAAATAGGCACCATCAAATACATGAATGAGGCAGGGCAATCGACCAATCTACGCAGAGGTGGAGAGACAGAAGATACCGATGCTGCTTACGTAAGTGGTAAGCGAACAGTACTCCGAAGTCAGAAAGTAAAGATAATTTATAGAGAGGAGACTACTTGGGGAAGAAGAGAAAGTTTGAGATAATTCGACGACGACCGACCCGAGAGATCCGACGCATTAAAGATGCATGGTGGACCGAGAAGGCGAAGCAGCTGGAGTGCTACGTCGAACGCCGCCAACAAAAGGAATTCTTTGCTTCTTTGAATGCGGTGTATGGACTGAGGTTGTCGGCCCGTAGCCTAGAGGCAACGAGCTTGTCTCGTAATCTTGCGGCGCGGGTTCGATTCCGCGCATGAGTGGGCGTCCTCGCGGTGTAGTCAGCGCGCGTGCGACTGGTGGTGGTCGCACGGCAGCGAAGCGCTGTTACGACGTACAGCTGAGACCTTATACCTTATGGACTGAGGACGCTAATCGATGGTACCTCAGGCGCTGCCTACACACAGATTGCAGACATAATGCAGATCTGGCGAAATCACTTTGTCTGTCTCTTGAACAACCGTTCAGAGATCGACTGACCTACTTTGAACGGCCTCAAGCAGCATGATGTGAAGGCGAATCTGACAGACACGCTGACACTGGATGAGACGCAGAGAGTACTTGATCAGTTGCGAAACGGCAAATGTGCCGGAGTTGACGGGATCCCACCTGAAGTATTGAAACACGGTGGACCCGCGTTGTTGACTGCGCTGCACCACTTGGTGCAACGCGTATGGATTGAGGAGGAAGTGCCACCTGAGCTGAAGGATGCCCTTGTGCTACCACTGTACAAGGGCAAAGGGAGCAAGCAATGTTGCATGAATAATTCTTGCCGAGAAGCGGGCGCAAAACTGTAGCTCTGACATTGTTGTCTTTTCTATATGACTTCGCCACGAAAAGTGGATTAGGATATACCATTCGCTTCCGCTTTGTGTGCTCCATATTCCACTGAAAAAACTTTGGAAGTATATCCAACGGTTTTTGTGAAAACTGTGTAAAACCTTTTCAACCATTAAACATCAAGCTTGGGTTTGACTAATGGGCGTTTGCGTAGAGATCGGGCCTTATATCCTTCATTTTGTATTCATTTAATGTAGTTTTTTGTGCTCTTTCAGTTGAGTTGTAGGTTATCCATGAATTTACAGTGAGGTTACCGTAATTTTCATCCGTGTGATTTTACTCCGGATGAGCCTCCTACAGGGAATATCTCCTCGCATGTTTACAGCTTTCATGATATTTATGAGTGCCTATTTTGCGTTCGTTCGTTTACCTATTCAAGAACAAGGGACCGAAGGTAAACAAATGTTTTCGATGAATTCCTCGTCAGACCTTTACAATCATATGGGTAAAGAATAAGGGGAGTAACAGTGGTTTCGAGCAATTCAAATGAAATTGGATCACGTGCCAACCAGGGGTATAAACCAGCAATAAACGTAAACGATAAGTGCAAACTAGGGCAAACATGTAATCAAATGATTGCTTCTGGCCTCCGAATCGTCCATTTTATCTGGCCAGGGTAAGTTAAGAGCTTCGATCTGTTTCTTTTGTGAACACAAAAGCGATTGATACAACCGAATACTGATCGCCTCAGCTGTAGCCAGGGTACGGAGGCGCAGGCCTTTCGATTGGAGTGGCGGAACCTTGTAGAGTATTCGAAAGGCGCGGACTGGATCGACTTCATGCCCACTATCAACTAGATAAACCATAACAGAGCTAGACATAGCCCCGGTACCGCCTCGACGCAACCAGCGTGGAAGATTCTCATTAATGCGCTTTGACAAGTGCCGTGCCTTTTATCAGTTTTTCATTTGGCATCTTATCTTTTAAGAGTATATGTATTTTTACTTAGGAATAACCCTTAATTTTAATTCTCCCCAATTGGGTGGGAATCATAGCTCCGTAGTCATATCAATACGAAACTGCAGGGCACCGACAGCTGACGGTTGACTGCCGGTCATTGGTGTCCAGCCTATCGATCGTACTATGTGTAATGAACGGCGCTAGCGATGGTATACTAACAGGCTATTGACGGCTCCAGATAAAGTTTAAGATAGTATCGGAATTTTTTACGTGCCCATTTTCTTACCTTTACACCACGCGTAGCTTTGTTTTATCCTAAGTGTCTATATACCGTTGTGAGGACTTGTTCTTATCTCTTTTAAATTGGCTATTAACTGTAGTCACAACAGTGTATTAGGTGATCCCGTGTATTTATTTATGCTGTTGTTTTCTCTTGTTTTATCCAGGTTATTGCCTCCTCGTTGATCTCCACCCGTATACTTATACTAATCTTATCTGTATTTTATTACATGACCTGAGCTCCATGGAGAGACGTTCCTCTTAGTCAACCGCCAACATTGTGAACTGTAAAGACACTCAATCATCCATGTCGAATACTTCACACAACTTCGATCAAGCGTCGAATCCGCTCTTTCCTGCCCCGCCTGTGTCATCTCTAACAGCGAATTCCCAACAAAGTCTTTACACCTGTCATATCATCATGATACACGTCAGCTAGAGGTGGGAAACACCTCAGCTACTGTGCCGCAATACATAAAGGAAAAGGAAAAGAAATACAACAGTTACATGCTAGCTGAGCTACCAGTAACAGATAAGCATCGTTCCGGTAAGCCACCAACCGGCTACTAGGCATAAAGAAAAATTAGTACGTTTTACGCTACGAAATGATATCGTAGATGGAGGGGAGGCTAAAAGGGATGAGAAGGAGCAAAGAAACTCACAACACGAACGCCACTGAGGTCAGCTCCTTGCCATGTCAGCAAGTGTATTCAGCCAAACGTGTTCATCATCTTTTGGACCCCAACCATGG